GTATCAAGCTGGCCTTTGTGTGGCACTTACCCAAGTCAACAATGATCAAGTGCCGACATTATACAAAAATACAAGATGTGACCTTCCTTAACCAGGGAGAAGTAAAACTGCTGGCTTAGTTCAAGGTCAGCTTCCAATTTTTTTTCTTTTCTTTTAGATCTCATTTAATGGGAAATAAATAATTTTACATAAGATTGATGACAATTGCACAATTATACTTTACATGAGCTTCTTGACCACTGATAGCCTCCTATGAATTACCTATCATACCTTTGCCCATTTTTCCCATAGCTTATGTTATGTATCTTATGACATTAGTTTTTTAATGTTCAGTTTCTATTGTGGCATAATCCACGTTATAAATATTGCCCTTGTAAAGTATAAAATTTGGTGGTTTTGAGTTTGTCACCTGTGGCCACTGAAGTCTCTGATTAAGCTCAGTGATCAACTACATGGCTTCCTTAAATGCCTAGGACCACCGTCTCCCAGCCTTTGCTGAGGGCTTTGTGTTTGTTTTAGGTCCTGCCTTGGTGCTTAGGGAAGTGGTTTAAGTGAAGCCTTAACCTTCACTTCCTGTGTGAAGCTTGGAGTCTCAAGGTCAGCCAGAGGAGAGAGCTGAGAGTATTCTTTGCTCTTTCCTGAGCATGTCCACAATGCTAGGGAGTGTATGAAAACATGGAGCTTTCTAGAGTCATAGAAATAGTCATGTTAAGATATATATTAGGCCAGGCACAGTGGTGCATGCCTGTGATCCTGGCAATTCAGGAGATTGAGGCAGGAGGTTCCCAAGTTCAAGCCAGTCTGGGCAATTTAGTGAGACCCTGTCTCAAAATAAAAAGAGTCGAGGATGTAGCTCAGTGGTACAGCACCCTTGGGTTCAATCCCCAGTACCCTCACCCGCCAACAGAGATATATTTCAGGAATATAAATCTCAGGTGAAAAAAAAAAAACAAGTTCAGAACAGAGTATATTTTGCTCCATTTTAAAAAGTGGAAGGATAAGCCAAAAATGAATAAATATGCTTATCATGGGCTTGGGGTGTGAAAGAATATAGAAAATAGAAAGGAAGGCTAGACATCTTTGAATGTGCCTATCTTGTGTATTTGACTTTGAAATCATGTAAATAGTTTTCTTAAATACAATATAAGCAAATTATAAATTGATCCTTTAACATCAAAATGAAACAAAATGTTTTTTAAGTTGGTAGCTGAAACAAATGGAAATAAATTATTGCAATTGGCTTTACAGTAATTTAGTGTATGTTCCTACTATGTATGGGTTTAGTGTATGCTCCTACTATGTATGGATTTCAGGGAAACCATATGTGGGGCCCAAATCGCTTGGAGGCCACATGGTCTACCTAGCCTGGACCCAGACTTTGATTTGGAGAAGTGATTCTTAAAGTTTGGTTCTCCAAACAACATCTTTAACAGTACTGGGGAATTCTTAGGCTCCAACTAAGATTGCTCTAAAAATAGAATTTATTAATCTAGAACCAGTGAACATTTTTTAACTCAATGCATGTAGGTAAATTTCATCAGTGGCTGCTAAAACCAAAAAGTGAATAGCTGAAAAGGAAATTTATAATGATTGGAAAAGTCTGACAATAGCTGGACCAAACATAGAAGTCTGAAAATGCTGAAAAGAATATGTGGCTCACTGATGTGATGCAGTAGGAAGTCACAATTATGAAATAGTCTTCCTAAAAAAATAAATTTGAATGCAAACTTTTACATCTAGAATGTAAAAAATTTAAGCAACATCTATGATGCAGAAAAACAGGTTAAACAAATCTAGAAGGTTTGTCTAGAAGACAAGCAACATGATATCTTCAACAAATAAACTGAATGGTGATAAAAACAAAAGAGTAAGTTAGAACACTTATTCAAGTTTGGGTTCAAACGAGTCAATTATAAAGAGACATGGGTGGGGAAATTAAACACTGACGGGACAGTCTATAACATTAAGGAATAATTACTCATTTTAACTGTGTTAATTATATTGGGTATACTTTTTAAAGTCATCTTCTAAAGATACTAATGAAGTATCGACAGGCAAAATGATGTGCTACCTAGGATTCATTTCAATATAATAATTTGTAGTGTTTGTTAGGTGGTGGGGGGTTGGGGGAGTGAGGATAAGGAATGTTGTCTCCTAGAATTTATAATTCTTTTGCAGATATTCAATATTTGAAGGCCCTGTTTATGTTTGGAGAGTCTCTGCCTTACCATGCCAAGGTGGTTTCCCATACTGAAGTAGTTGAAAATACTGGCTACAGGCCCTCCTAACACCATTTGCAGTTAGGGTACAGGAACAAGACATAGACTACCTCAAACATAAGCACATTCTGGTCTTTAGCTAAGCAGACTGGTGGCAGTGGGGGCAGGAGCTGTGGTTCTAGTAGCAGCATTTGATAGTACCCATCAGAGATGGTGGGGTGTGGCCTCTGGTGTCTGAGCAAAGAAGTGGTCATGGAGTTTCAAGTGGACACCTGCAGCTGGGTCATCACTCTGGCTAAGCAAATTTAGGCTATGCCCTCTGGGAGACCCTGGCTCCTCTGGATATTTTATCTGCAAGTCATTTCTTTCTCATCCCTTAAAAAGAACTTCCACGGATTCTCATCAGATGTCTACCTAACCCCCAGCATCTGTCCCATGCCTCCCACCATCCCCCTCAATTAATATAAGTGAAATTTATTTACTTTATGTACTTAGGGAAAGCCACTCCCCCCTCCCCCCTTGTATCCACGCCTGCCACAGCCATCCCCACTTGCCTTTTCAGTCTCACGTCTCCCTTTTTCCATAATCACCCCTTGTTCATGCTGCCTCTTGAGCTTCAACCAGAATCGTGAACCAAAATGAGCTCTTTTCTTTATAATCTAGTTTATACTATTGTATTATCAGCAACACAAAACAGACTAATACAGAAAATTGGTTCAGAGGAGTGAAGTCGTTACCATAACTCTTCAAGAACATGAAGGCAGCTTTGGAATTGGATAATAGATGTTGGAAGAATTTGGAGTAGTAGGCTAGAAAAGGCTTGTAAGGCTGTATGCAGAATATTACAGGCAATTCTATGGAGAAGTCAGAAGATGAGGAGACTAAGGAACTTGTCTCAGATGGAAATGAGAATCAATTGGTAGTTAGAAAATAGGTCATCCCAGTTACACCATTACAAAGAACATAGCTGCATCGTTTCCATGCTCTAGAGCTTTATGGAAGGCCAAATTTACAGGATATGATCTAAGATATGTGTGAAAGAAATGTCTGAATGGCAAAGCATTCAGGCTGTGGCATGGGTATATTTGCTATTAATGGCATTTACAGAGAGACTTGAGAGTGAAAGGGCACAGAGCAGAAAGATTTGGAAACTTTGCAGCCTGGCAAAGATGCATCTTTGGGAGAGGATGGCGTGGCCATACATCAGCCTCCTAAAGAGATCAACAGGAATGCTGAGAATCAGGACCATCTGGAAAAGCCCTTAAGGGTATATTAGAAATCTTTAAGGCTGCCCATTCCATCAGACGCCCAGAGGCCTTCTTGGACAAAGCTGTTCAGGAATTGAGTCCAGGCCACTTTCCATGGACTTGGGATTTTTTTCTCAGCTCACAGTCATGGTTCAAGTGGGCCCAGGTACAGCTCATGCCTGAAGTCCACCTTGGCAGCCACGGGATGCTGGTTTCGCAGGTATGCAGAAGGCAAGAGCTGTGGGGTCACAGCAGCTTTCACCGAAATTTCAAAGGAAAGTCTGGAAGGTCAGAAAGAGGTTTGACAAAGGACAGAGGTGGCTTCAGTGGGGCCAATGCCTAGTGGAGCCATGGCAGCGGAGTTGCAATGGAGATTCTCGAAAGAATTCCCAGCTCCCACCATTATTGGAATCTTGATTTATTTTAATTTGCTTAATAGACTTTTAAGAATTATTTATCTTTTAGGATGGTGCTGTTTAGGACCAGAGAATCAAAATCTTTATAAGGAAAACAAAATCTATAAATACAATTCGGAACATTTAAAATTACTTAATGAAAACTAAATTTATAAGTGAATCTACACACAACCTACAGGTTCTTAAAAGAAATTGTTAAAAGTTTCAGATTTGGGAGTAGAATAAGAAAGCCCCTATCAAAATGAACTTTTGAAAATGAATTTAAAGGAGTAGAAAGCATCCTTGTATTTTTATCCTCCTCTGGCAGCTTTAGCCTAGGGGAGAAAGTAGATATTCTGTCATTCACAGCAAACTGAGTGCAGACTTTGAAGAAATTCTTAAATAATTGCTTGGAGCCACAGGACCAATAGCCTCAGGCTTTAAGTTTTGGATTGGAGGAACTAATGGCCTACTCCCTGTTACAGGAGGCTTTCAATGCCTATATTTGCAGTGTTTTCAGATAACTTTATTTGACTGTTATCTGACGGATAATGCAAGCCAACATTCCCTACTGAGATTAAAGATATGGTTTCTGTAGGCTGGGAGTGATGGGATCTCTCTCCCTCTCTAGTGTTGTGGATTCTGTTGCTCCACATCAGGAGGCTCTCCTCTCTTTACATTCATATCATAAAGCCCTTCTTCTCTTAATGACTTCAGGACAGTTCTGGGGGGGCTGTTTTCGCTGGTGTTCAAGTGTGGAGGAATTGAGCTGTGAGGAACTCAAGTCCCAACTTGGTGAGGGTCTCTCTCTTTTCTCCTTTCAGTGGGTGTTATTTCTCTAGCACTGTTGGACAGTCTTCTAGGGAGACTCAGAGATGACTTTTCTGGTGACCTCCTTTATCAACCAGATTCCTACATGGCTCTTGCTTGCACTGCACAGGGTTCAGGTATCTCAAAGCAGTTTGCTGCTACCAGGTGGAACCCGGTCTCAATCCTGTACAAAGCCTCCCACAGGCCTGTGCCTGATAATAAATATCCATCTCCCTGGTCTGAGTCTTCTCACTTTCTCCTCTCCCTACATCCATATCCCCTCATGAATCATGCAGATTAAGCTTCCACAACCAAAGAATCAAATCATCTTTCTGTTTTTAGAATCTCTTTATTATGACAGAATCACGGAGGGTGGGGGATTAAGGAAGCTCAGCCTCTAGAAGCAATGTCAGATTACCCTTCCTGGGGTATGAATTGCAAAAGATAACTCATTGCAAAAGATATTAATACTCGTTGCAAAAATATTCTGAGTGTCTTCTTAATTATTCTCATTATTGCTTTGTGTATATTGTGCCTGTGTGTAATATATTTCATGCGTAATGTATTTGTGTATATTGTGCATGTCTGTAATATATTTCAAGGCCTAGGAAGTCTGGAAAAGAATGATTTTTCAAAAGACCTGTTCAGGAAACAGGCTATTCTCCAGCCAATAAAAGAAAAGCTATAGGAAGCCAGAGGGGGAAATCATAGAACCCACTTCCTGGCAAATGCACAAGGGTCCATGAGTTAGGAGAGCAACATAGAAACGCCTGCAGGGACCCTGAGAATGTGGGAGCTGAGTCAGCCTGGGAGTAGGGTACTGGTTCAATTTCATGCTGAGGAAGCAAAGCAAAGTTCATGAGGCATTTGAGGGCAGGGACCCCGGTTCTGCTGTTCATCACTCATCTCCATTTCTTCGAACTCACAGTCCACTCCATTACCCATTTACCCATCCTCTTCTCCAGCCACATGCAAAGCCACTCATTACTATCTTATGTCCAGGGCCACTTTCACAGAGGCACATAGTTCCACTGGTTCCAGTCACAGGGCATGGGGATATTACCCAGCCTGAGGGTCACTCGTTGTGTGATGTGGTTGGCCTTGTCCACATGAGCATACATGGGGAAGCCAAGTTTTCCCAGAGTCTGGATCTGGCATCTGGCGATGTGATAAAGGAGACTTTGACCTCGGTACTCAGGCACAGTAGCTCCTATTCGCAGCTCTCCAGTCTGGTCCATCATGGTCCAGCTCACAGGGGTCCCCTCAGGCCCCAGCAGACAGAAGCTGGGGAAGGTCCGGATGCAGCGCTCAATGAATCTCTGACTTCTTTCATTGCCACCAAAATACCAGAATTTATTCACCAAGGCAGCATGGGTAATATCCAGGGTTGAGTGTTTAAACATCTGTTGGTCGCTATTGAGAACAAGGGAAAAGACCAATCCTTATTGTCACACACATTGTGAAACATTTCGTTTCCCCTCAAATTGTCCTGAGAGGCAAACAGAAGCCTATCTAAAGTCATAGCCAGGCTGCTGGTTCCTGTCAAAACTGCTTGTGTGGCTTGGCTTGATCAGTTAATCTCTCACTTTCTCCTTTTTCTCATCTGGTGACTAGAGATGATAAACACGCCTCCTTAGAAAATCACCATTAGGCTTCAATGAGCCAGTGTTTATTGGTGATTAGATCCAGCACCAGGCAGATAAAAATTATTTACAGTGTTTCATTTGGTTTTGTCTATAACCCTGCAAGGTAGTTAGCTCAGGTGTGATTATCCCCATTTGACATAGAAAAGTGGCATAGAAAATTTGCTAGCAAGCAGGAAAGTCTCTGTTTAGAATTGTGGAACCTTAGAATGTTGGTGTCTGAGGACCTTGGCTATTGTGTTGAACAAATGAGAAAGTGTAGTCCCGAGAAGGACACCATGTTATAGAACATATAAGTCTGAAGATTTCTACAGTGTGTAAAGGGGCCAGGGGAACATGCTGGAAAGAGCCCTGGATGAGGGACTAGAAGATCTATTCTCAAGCTCCAGTTATGTCCTTCACCGTCCACACCAGTTATGTCCTTCACCGTCCACATCGTGAGCAACCACTCCATCATCAGCACCTGCTTTCCATGGAGAAAATGAAAGTTATGCCTCCTTCCTGTCTATCTCAAAGGGTCACGAGGATCCTTTGAGACTTTAGACATGGAGGTGCTTTATCGGTTGTAATGTCCTTTACTAAGTGAGTAAAACTTTTCCTGACACAAAAGCTCAGAAGGCCATAGGGCTGAGCATCTCGAGATCAAATCTCCACTCAAAACTTTTAATTCTATTCTCGATTACACTAAAAATTCAGTGGGAAAGAATAGATGATTTGTTCAAATTATTCTTATTGGAACCCATTTGTTTCATGAAGTGAATTCATTAAACATACTAAGCACCCACTATATGCCAGGTACTATATGAGCTGATGAGAATCTATCAGTGAACAACAGAGGGTGAGATTCCTGCTCCTATAAGATTTGCAATATTGTTGGGGTAGGATTTAAACAGCAAATAAGTAAACTAGCTAATATTAAATAATCATAAGCACAACGAAGAAAACAAAACTGGGTCACGTGTGCAGAGTAACTGGGAAGTGACTTGACTAACGGGGGTGGGGAGAGCGGTGAATAGTCTTGGATAACGAAAGAAATCCTGGGTGTAAATATTGGGTGGGTGAGAGAGAGACATTTCAGAGAGAAGAGCTAATTCAAAGGGCCTGAGCTTGTGATGATCAAGTAGGAAGAGTTCAATAAAAATTACAGGAGACCATTATTATGAACTAAGTTTTGCACTGGGCTCCACAGATCAGATTAAAAACCAAAAATATGATCACTAGTACTAAAGTTCCAGGTCACCAAACCTAGAACAAATTGTTATCTGATCTCAGGGGAGAGAGAGAGTAGTAACCACCAATTTTTCATACAGCTGGATTTCAATGGCTTTAATATTTACAAAAAGTCACCTGATGTTAACCAGTCAGATATTTTTCTATTGTTTTGTCTCCCTATGCCTACCTTACAAGGAAAACAATTTTGAAATGAGCCAATCTGCTTTTTGTTCTTTGTTTCTGCTTTCTTGAAATCTTCTCTGTCTAGAAAACCAACCTCTTCAGTCTACCCCATTGGAACACTTACTCTGTTTTGTAGAACAAGAGGTTGCTCGATTCCAGAACCACAAATAAAGGTCAATTAATATCTTTAAACTAAATTTTTTTGTTGCAATTTTATTTTTTGACAAGAGGTAGGCCAGGGTTGTTGGAGGAAATAAACAAGAGGAGATCTCTGAAAGGAAATGGATACCGGCTCTTACAGGGCTGAGAAAGAGTTCAGAAGTATTTCAAGATGAGATGGAAAGTATTGGGAATCTTTTAAGCAGGAGAGGCACGTGGTTTTATTTAAATTTTAAAAAGATGACTTAGGCTACTTTGCAGAAAACAGATCCCAAGGGGGTCAGAACAAAAGCTGGGAGAGAAGTTGGAAAGGATAGCAGGTTAAATGGTAGTCCCTCAAAAAGGTACCTTCACCTGGCACTTGTGCATGTGATCTTGTTTACAAAAATCATCTTTGAAGATATAAGGATCCTTAAGTTGAGAATCTCAATATGAAATTGTCCTGATTATCCTGTGGATTATCAATCCAATGGCAAGTGTCCTTAGACAAAAGAGGAGAAGACACACAGAGGAGAATGCCAAGTGACAGTGATTGTTTCGTGACCACAGCGATGCAACATCTAGACAGAGGCATCAGAAGTTGGTGGAGGAAAGGAAGGACTCTCTTCTGTGGACCTGAGAGGGGGAATGGCCCTGCTCACACCTTGATTTGGGACTTCTAGATTTCATAGCCATGAGAGAATGAAATTCTGTTGTTTGAAGCCCCTTCCAGTTTGTGTTAATATTTTTGCCAGTCCTGGAACCCTAACACAGGAGACAACTTCAGTGGTGACAACTGAATGGTGCAGCTTGGCTCCTATCAGACTTACAGGGACTTGGATTTGTCACCATCGGGAGATGCGTTCTTTCCATCCAGCAGCGAAGGAGCCAGTTTCTTTGCTGTGTCATGTACCATGTAGAGAAAGCATTGTGTGTGCTTGACTTGGCCCGAATGAATGGCTACAAGGTTTTTTATCACCTTATCCAGGCTGGCCTGTAAGCCTAGATGGGGGAAAGCAAGGCATCATATGAGATTTCATCCTCCATTAATGTTTGGGAAAAACGGCCCAAAGGAGTCGGAAGGTATGTGGACAGAATTAACAAATCACCTGTTCAGTCATGATATAGGCGTTAGATGAAAACAGTTACATCACTCCCATATATTTTAAAATTTAAAATTAGCATAATATCACAGGTCTTGAATACATCACGGGACAATAAAGGTGACCAAAGGAGATGAGGTGTAGAGATATTAACTAAAATTTACTGGTCAATTTCTAGGCACCGTGCAATAGATTGTTGCTATAATGGTCCCAGATTATTCCTACCTAACTAATCTGATTGTCTCTCTGAAATGACTTTGAACATAGCCAGTTAATACGGCTTAGCCAATGGAATGAGAGCAAATGTGATTTAGTAAGAAGCTTTACAATGTTGTCTTTTGGCCCCTCACTACCTGTAATGGTTAATTTGAATTGTCAAATTGATTAAGAGATGCCAAGGATGAAGAGGATTATGGGTGTGTTGATAAGGGTGTGTCCAGGAATGATTGGCATGTGGGAGACCCAACTGAAATGGAGACCCTCTCTAAGCGTGGGCAGCACCCACCAATAGGATGATGTCTTGGATGGAATAAAAGTTGGAAGAACAAGGAAGCAGAAGCAGATGCAAGCTCCATTCTTCTTCAACGGGTTCTTGATTACTGCTGGGATTCTCTGAGGATGTCCGACTCTCGCTTTTTCACTCTTGCAAAGTAGATTCTCCAGAAACCTTTGGTCTCACTAAGATCCCTCTTTTCTGGAGCTTCAGCCTCTTGGACTGTGCAGCCACTGGTTCTTCCCATTATGGACTATCCAGCTTCTGGGCATGAAGCCAACTTAATAAGTCTGCTTTTTATACTTCCTGTTGATTCGGTTCCCCTAGAGAACCCTGACTAATACAGTACCCTTTTAACTTTACGTGTTACCCAGACTATTTCTATCACTGTAGTAAAAAAACAGTGCAAACAAAGCTAGTGTCACAGGCAGGCTTGGGACCATGAATAACCTGGTCCTACCAGCTCATGGATGACCCTCCAGCTGACTATGGCCACACGGTGACTCTAAGTGAGACTAGTGAACAACCTAGTTGAACCTAGCCCAAAGTGCTAACTCCCACAATTGTGAGCTAATAAATGATGGTGGCCTTAAATTGCTACTTTGAGAAGGTCTGAAAAATCTAACTGCTAAGCATTTCCCAGTCAAGGTCTCATTTAACCCTCAAGGACTCTATTTTTCAGTTTTATTTTATACTCAATAAATATTTTATGTTAATATTTTATGCATAAGGAAACTGACTCACAGAGAGGTTGTTACTTACCTTACATCATTCAGCTAATAACAGCACCAGCAAGGCTGCAGTCTTGATAATCTGACTCCAGAGAGCATATTCTTACTTACCAAGATACTCCTTTGTGAATTTGACAGTGTGAAAAAACAGAAACGGAACAAAAGAAGTTTTGCTCCCATCCCCATGTTCTTTAATAGGTCCTGGACACTCCGGAGAGTAAATCATGAGTCCTTAGCTCCTAGGAAAACGTATTACTCAAAATTTCCTTTTTAAACATTATATGCTGCATCAACCCGTTTCACTAAGGAGGGAGTGGCTTCAGGAATGGACAGAAGAATGAGTGTCTGGATCCTGGAGGAAAGATACTGTGGTGTGCAAGGTGCTTATTCAAAATAAAAAGTGACCCCACAAGTGTATTCAGGCAGGAGATTCCAGCAGCCAGCACAATTCCAGTTCTTACTTTGAATCTGCAAGTGTTGCTTCCAGTTGATGACTTCCGGTGAGCTAAGGAATTCCTGACAGTTCTTGGGATCCTTGGAATAGATCTGGTAAGTATTAGTGTAGTGATCAAGGTCATTTGTCATTTCCTGTTGGGGTTAAGAAAAGAAGAATCAGCCAAAATGTTTGTAGTTGATGATTGTCAGTACTCCCTTATATTATGATATTTTAAAATACAAAAATTAGCATTTTTTTGCCTTTACTTATAAATTTTTTAGGATCAAGTCAAGGACTCCCTTATACAGTTAAAAATGAAAAATATCCTAACTCTACTGTTGCTTTGAAAGTTCAAAGTAATCAAATCAAAACCATTTTCGTATACCTCCATAAAACTCATGTAGAAGAGCTAAAATAACAGCCGAGAAGAAAGAAAAATCTCTAGTTAAAAGAATAAGTTTTGCTTTGGACTATGCACATGTCCTTATTATAATTCATATAGATAACAGGGTAGATTAGACATCTATAAATGATAAAACCAAATAAAAAGATATTGAACTCAATATGCCTTCTTTAAAAAAAGAAAAGACATTGTTAAACAAACTCCAAGTCCATCAAGCAAATGAACAACTGCATTCATAAACATAGATATTCAAACACATCTAGCAAATTTATTGAAACCAGGATAGGATTATTTGAATATGAAGGAACAGAAAAAAGAAAAAAATTACTTCAACCAGTGTAGCCTCATTTATAAGTCCTTTTAATCTTCCAATATCAAGAAATATTAAACAAAAATACACTTGCTATTCAGCTATAACACCATGGATCACACAAGCAATTTTCCTGCCTTCCCTTAAAAGTTTTTAAAAATTTGTGTTCAACACTGTGTTTTAGTAAAAATTTCACTAGGAAGCAACTCTGACTCTCTCCCTGTAACATCTACCTCAGGTAGTACTTTTTCTTCTGCTTTGTTTCACTGACTTCACTGTGGACACTCGGTTACAAGGCAGTCCTGCATCTCAGTAGGAAGAGCCTTTCAGTGAGAGTTTGTGATTTAGTATGAATGAGTTGGTATGATTCCAGGACTGGTGGTTTTCAAACACAGGAAATATTTTTCACCTTAGGCTAACAATTGAAAATGAAATTAGGATCTGATTTATTACAATATAGAAATCTAGCCTAGGAAATGCTCTCTCTCTCTCTTTTTTAATCATACAATGTATTTTAATAAAAAGCTTTACTTCTCAAATCGTCAGTAGCAGCAGCTTCTCCAACTGATTAAATTTACTACATCTTTTTTTTTAATTTATTTTTTAAAATTTTAATTTGTTAGATATGACAGCAGACTGTATTGCAATTCATATTACACATTCAGAGCACAACTTTCATATCTCTGGTTGTACACAAAGTAGAGTCACACCATTTGTGTCTTCATACATGTACTTAGGATAATGATGTCTATCTCATTCCACGTCTTTTCTACCCCATGCCCACTCTCTTCGTCTCCCTCCCCTTTGCCCTATCTAGAGTTCATCTAGTTTTCCCATTCACTTCTACCCTCCCCACCCCATTATGAATCAGCATCCTTAAATCAGAGAAAACATATGGCATTTGGTTCTTTGGGATTGGCTAACTTTACTTAGCATTATATTTTCCAACTCCATCCATTTACTTGCAAACGCCATGATTTTATTCTCTTTGGGGGACTGGCTTGTAAACAAAATAAAATAATGAAGAAGGATGAAAGTGAATCACAGACTTTCTCCCTGTGCTACTACTGTGTTTTGTTTATTACCTCTGTCTGCCCATTTCACACCAGGGTGAATTTGTTTAGGAGCTTCTGTTCTCCAGCGTGTGAGCTTCTTGAGTTGGCATCACTATAGTTCCTTTCTGTTTCCCTGGGGTCTACCCTATTGCCAGGCTCCTGGTACACATATGGCAGACATGAACACAGAGCCATATTCATTCTCACTGGGCAACTTACCTGTTCCTCAGGACGAATAACCAGAGTATTAAAATCAGGCCATTTGTCCACCAGGGCCTTAAGCTTGAATGGGTTCCCCTGGTTTATGTGGAAGACAGTTCCATACACCTACACATTTCAACAAAATAGGAGTATCAGCACGTTACACAGAGATAGTGAAGAGCATGTGTTTGACCAGAAGGAGGCTTGCTTCTTCTATGAAGTCATGAATTTTTTTAAGATTGGAAGGTACCTAACATATGTCTCTGTCAAATGGCTCTTTGGTTCTACTTGTTTGCTTGAATAAAAATATCTTTAAAAGATATCCATATAGTAAAATACGACCAATATATACATGGTCATTGTAACTCCACACCATGTACAACCACAAAAATGGTAAGTTTTACTCTATGTATGTATGGTATGTCAAAATATCTATCTACAAAATACTATGTGTCAAAATACATGCTCACAAAATATATTAGTGAGACAAGGACTCACTAATTTCCTTGGATCAAGGAAATTTTGATCCAATTTCCACAAGGATCCTTCCTGTAGCCCTTTTATAATCAATTCTGTTACTTCTCTACTCCTCACCTACTCCTCACCCACTGGTGACCATTAACCTATGCTCCATTTCTGCAATTTTTTCACTTCAAGAATTTTATATAAGTGGAATCAGTGCAAACTTTTGGAACTGACTTTTCCCATAAGCTTTTGGGATTGGCTTAATTCATCTAGAGAATTATGCAAGTATCAACAGTGGATTTCTATTTATTGCTCTGTATTTGTGCAGAGTATGGATGTATCATAGTTTGTTTAATCCTTCACCCACTGGAGAACATCTGGGTTGTTTCCAGTTTTTGCTATTTTAAATCAAGCTCTTATAGACATTCATGTATTTATGTTTGTGTGAATATTAACTTGCATTTCTCTGGGGCAAAGTCTCAGGAGTGTAATTGCTGGCTGCATAATAGTTACATGTTTAGTTTTTAAAGAAATTTGCAAACCCTTTTTCTGGTATGGCTGTACCATTTCAAATTTCCATTAGCAACAAATTAGTGATCCATTTTCTCTGAATTCTTGGCCAGAATTTGGGATTTGGACTCCTGTTTTGCTCAAATGAGAGTTGAAATGGGCTAAGGGGAATTGAAATGGACTGTGTGAATTCTATTTCTAGCCACAGCTGGGCAAGTTATTCAAGTTCTTGCTGCCTTAAACCCATCCTGTTCAACATGGGGAGAACAGCAATATCCTTTTCCTGGGAGTGTTTTTTAAGTTCATATGAATTCATAAATAAAGTCTAGTGGATGGTATATGGTAATGCCAAGTAAGAGCTTGCTGTTGTTACCACTGCTTCTGTCCCTTGGGTCCCAGTTGGCTCTGGCGCTGGCCTGTTCTGAATAAATTTAGCTCTAATTTTAATTGGAAGAAAGAGATTTTTTTAAATAAGTTACTACTTTCATAATTGACCAAATGTTAGAAAATGTAAAATAAGTAAAAGGTGCATAATCAAACCCTTTTGCAACAAATTTGTTGCATTGTATAATCATTTCTAGGTCTCCCTCTTTTATTTATTTATTTTTATTTTTTCATTTTAATGAAATAAGATGTGACCTATTCCAAGAAAATACATGGTAGTTAGCTTCTCATCTGACACAAATATCTAAAAATTATTATGTACTTAAGTCAACCTTTTAAAGAAAAATCAGGAAATTTCCAGTGTCATTGTGAAAGATTCTTTGAAAGTAAACAATGACATTTGGGGGGGGGGGGCAGTGAGTGAACCCAGGGCCTTGTGCCAGCACTCTTCCAACTGAGCTATATCTCCAGCCCAATAGTGAAATTTTTTTGGTGTTGGTTTTTTGTTTTGTTTTGTTTGTTGTTTGTGTTTTGTTACTGGGGATTGAATTCAGGGGTGCTAACCACTGAGCCACATTCCCAGCCCTTTTTAATATTTTATTTAGAGATAGGGTCTCACTAAGATGCTTAAGGCCTCACTAACTTGCAAAGTTCACTGGCTTTGAACTTCCATCTTCCTGCCTCAGCCTCCCCAGCTGCTGGAATTACAGGTGTGCACTACTGAACCCCAGTATTTTTAGTTAGCAAAGATATATACGTATATATATGTATATATTGTGTTTAATATATATATAAATGGAAAGATTTTGACAAAATTGCAAAATATTAAATATGAAGAGAATAAACAAAATTTTTAAAACCAGATTTCCAACCAATAAATGTTAATTAGAATAATAGCAAACTTCTCTGTCAGAAAACAATTGAAATAATATCATCATAATGCAAGGGTAAAGACCTTTCATTCAAAGGTCTACTAGCAGATATATTTAAACCAGATAAACCTTCTGATTAGCTAAGAATGAGAGAAAATTGATAGCTTTTTAAAATTAATAAAATTAAAAACCTTTCCAAAATATGATCTGAAGGTGTATTTTTTATTGACATAGCCTCTGTTACTGTAGAATATAGTTTTGAATTTTCTGTTTACCTCATTACATTTTATGACCACAGGGACTTCAAATGATTGAAATTATTCAATATGGTTATATTATATGGGTAACAGTTTTGATCAATAGGCCTATTCTTTTTTAAATTCTAATTTGTTATGTATGACAGCAGAATGCATTACAATTCATAGTACACATATAGAGCACAAATTTTCATATCTCTGGTTGTATACAAAGTAGAGTCACACCATTTGTGTCTTCATACTTGTACTTAGGGTAATCTGTCCATCTCATTCTACTATCTTTTCTACCCCCATACACCCTTCCTTCCTCTTCCACCCCTTTGCCTTATCTTTAGTTCATCTAATCCTCCAATGCTCCTCTCCCCCACTATGAATCAGTATTCTTAAATCAGAGAAAACATTTGGCATTTGGTTTTTTGGGGATTGGCTAACTTCACTTAGCATTATATTCTCCAACTCCAGCCATTTACCTGCAAATGCCCTGATTTTATTCTCTTTTAATGCTGAATAGTATTCCATTGTATATATATGCACATTTTCATTAATTATTCATCAACTGAAGGGCATCTAGGTTTTGGTTTCACCATTTAGCTATTGAGAATTGTGCTGCTGTAAACATTGATGTGGCTGTGTCCATGTAGTATGCGTAGCAATATATTTTTTTTAATATTGACTTCACCTTAGTGAAACCTGTTTCCTCTTCTTGGATGTGAGTGTAATGTGGATCCCTTCAAAGGGGTGATATGAACTTCCTGAGGTACAACACAAGTGCATTCCTGACACTGCGTAGGTGCTCAGTAAAAGCTGTGTTCTTTCCCACCTCTGTCATCATAAGATGCAGCTCTCTGTTTCCCAGAGAATGTCCCACTCTCACCTTTAAGGACTCAGGGAGGTGCTTCAGCAAGGACTTCTCCAACAGCTGCAGCATCTGTGGACCCTGCAAGTGGAGCATCTTGGCAGGAATCTTAGCCTCAAGAGACAGCAACTACAACAAGAAAAGTCACGAATGGGAAAATGCTTATTGCCATCTGTCTGGACTGCCACAACAGAGTACCACAAACAGGATGGTTTATAAACAACAGGAACTCATTTATTACACTTCAGGATCCCTGGAAGCCCAAGACAAAGACCCAAGTGGATTCAGTGTCTGGTGAGTACCTGCTTTCTGGCACCTTCTAGCTGTGTCATGCCATGGCTAAAGGGACAAATTAGCTCTCAGGGGTTTCTCTTAAAAGGACACTAAACCCTTATAAGAGACACAATTCATGTTCATGAGGGCCTTACCTAAAGGTCCCCAGTTCCTAATACTATAAACTTGGAGGACAGCTTTCAACATATGAATGTGGGGGATACACAGACTTTCAGACCATGGCAATGCTAAACCAACAGGTTCTAGATCCACACAACTTTACCTGAAACTTAGTAAGTCACAGTAAGATGAATCTTCCCATTTTTAAAATGACTGCCTTGAGATAAGTGATAGTCACTTTATTTATTTATTTATATTTGTTCTAATTAGTTATACATGACAGCAGAATGATTTCAAATCATTGTACACATACGGAGCACAACTTTTCATTTCTCTGGTTGTATACAGTGTACAGTCACATCATTCGTGTGCAATCATATATATACATAGGGTAATGATGTCCTTCTCATTCCACCATATTTCCCACTCCCATGCTCCTCCCCTTCCCTTACTCCCCTCCACCCAATCCAAAGTCTCTCTATTCTTCCCTTCCCTTGTAGCTCCCAACCCCCAATCTGGATCAGCATCCACATATCAGAGAAAAAATTCGGCCTTTGGTCTTTTGGGATTGGTTTACTTCATTTAGTATGATGTTCTCTAACTCCATCCATTTACCTGGAAATACCATAATTTTATTCCCTTTCAATGATGAGTAATATTCCATTGTGTCTAAGTACCACATTTTTTTTTATCCATTCATCTATTAAGGGCATCTAGGTTGCTTCCACAGTGTAGCTATTGTGAATTGAGCTGCTATATACATTGATGTGACTGCATTATGGTACAGTCACTTCAGATTCCTAGCTTTGCTGTGAAGCACAGGAGTTTGAAAAAGCACCATGAAGGTTCTGAGGTTCCAATTCTTAGAAGGCCGATGAGACAAGAATATCAAGTTCTGGACTCCTATTGAACCTAAGACCTTGTTCAGGGCCTTTTATTGGTGTTACTTAACCAAAATCCTCATCAACCCACAAAGAAGGATGAGATTGGCCAAAAGCTAAGGGCTCTCTTCCTGAAATTTTTTTCCTTTTCACTTTTTTATGCTATTGTAAATTTCACCCATAAAGGTACATTTACTTTAACTAACATTTAAAAAAATATTCAGGTGAATCTTTTGGGATTAAGTTGCTTTTCTCCAATATGTGTTTTTGGCATCTTTATCAAGGATCAGATGATTGTAGGATGTGGGTTTGTCTTTGTGCCTTATATTCTGTAGCACTCATCTATGTGTCTGTTTTTATGTCAGTATCATGCAGTTTTTGTTACTATAGCTATGTAGTATAATTTGAAGTCAGGTATTGTGAAGCCTTCAGCTTTAATTTCTTAACTTAGAATTGCTTTTGGCTGTTCTGGGTCTTTAATTCTTTCAAATGAATTTTAGGACTGATTTTTTCCCTAGTTCTATGAAGAAGGTCATTGTTACTTTGATGGGGTAAGCAAATATTTTGAGATAGGATTTTGCCAAATTGTCCAGGTTGGCCTCAACTTGCAATCCTCAATCTTTGGAATCCTTGGCTTCCTTCTCTATATAAGCTGCGAGAAATTCCAATTAATGTTCAGTCAAAAATCAGTGCCACCAGTGACCTGGAAAGCACCACAACAGAAAAAAACTGTTGAGTAACCTCTAGCCTTTGCTCTGTCCATGGGCCACACAGCTTAGGAAGACACAGAGAGAGGCTTTTATCAGCATAGGTTGTTATTATTCATTCTCCTCCTCCCCCACCTCAATCAAGTACTTTGGTGGGGAGGAAATTATTATTTAGACTTTTTTCTTTTTTCCTCTTTGTAATTTTTTTTTCTCTTTTTATTCATTTCTCCTTTTCATGTTTCTAGTTTCTTTTATTTGTTGTTCAATTTTTCAATTTTAAATTTTTTACCTTTTCGTTTTATTTCATTCCCCCGTTCTTTACTGTTGTTATTAATCTTATTTTTCAACACTTTTTTTTTTATAGTGCCAGAAACTAAGCTCGAGATTCACAAATATCGGATGGGTGCTCTGCCACTGAGCGACACGCCCAGTACACTTTGCTCTAGTCATGACCTACCCCTGCTTGAACACTGGCACACACTTCAACTGAAACACAGAAAGTCCAAGGGGCCAAATCTTGTCTTCAGTGGGCACAGCTAGGGGAGTCTGACCTCCCCCATAACTGTTTTTGAGGGCAGTCACACCCACAAAACCCTCAAAAACCTCAGGCAGAAATAACACGACTGTTGTAGCCACCATGCCTATAAGGGTCTTCCTCACGGGTCACTTTCACACCTTGTAGATTGTACATCACTGACCACTTTAGGTGAGTCATGATAAAGAGCAGTAGCTGTGGACCTGCCCTCACCTTCCCACATGAAACACAAGGAATTTCACCAATATCTAAATAGAGCATAAGAGCTTCAGGCCCTTAACTATAATTGGAATCTCTTTCAAGTAACAGAGTCAATATCAATAGAAAGAACAAAAACAATCAATAAACGAATGACTAGACCATACAAGATCTCTGGGAAACTATTAGAAGATCAAATGTCTGCATAATTGGCATATTTGATAGAGAAAAGCTACAGTCTGAGAGTACGGAAAACCTATCCAACTAAATCATATCAGAACATTTTTTTCAAATCTTGGGAAAGACATAAATATCCAAGTAAAAATGGCATTTGAACCCCAAATAGACATGACCAGAAAAGAACCTCTCCACAGCATGTTATAGTGAAATTGCCAAAAGTACAGGATACAGAAAAAAAAATTAAAATTTGTAAGGTAGAAGCAACAACTCACATTTAAAATCAAAACAATTAAACTAACAGCAAATTACGCAGCAGAAAATCTAAAGACCAGAAGGGAATGGAATGATGTATTTTGAGTCCTGAAAGAAAATAACCTCAGCCAAAATTGCTATATCCATAATTGGAGGAGAAATAATGACCTTCCAAGATAAGCATAAGCTAAGGAAATTCAAGAACCCCTGACTAGCATTACAAAAGATACTTGAAGAAACCTTGTAAGGAGAGAAAGAAAGATTAACACAATCAGAAGAGCACATGAAAAAAAAATAAATCCCACTAGAAATGTTGACACACAAATAATAAATAGGAAAGAATCCAATTTGTCAATGTACACCAAACTTTTAAGATAAGAAATGAACATAGAATATACAAAAAGGAAAAAGAAGGAAAAAAAAAAAACCAAATAACAGTAATAAGTTCACCTTCAATAATAACCCTGGATGTAAATGGTCTTAATCTCTACTTACACAGACTGGCTAAATGAATTTTAAAAATATGGTCCGAACAATGTGCTGCCTACAAGAAACTAACCCCAACTGCAATGACAAACAGACTGTGATAATCAGTTTCATGTCATTGGGACCAAATGCCTGAAAAGAAAAACCTAGAGGACAGAAAGTTTATTTTGGCTCATGATTTGAAAGATTTAGTTCATAGTAGGTTGACTCCACTGCTTTGAGCTCAAGGTGAAGGAGCACATTATGGTGGAAGGACATGGGCGAGGCGAGCTGATCAGGACAGGGCGGCTGGAAACCACAGAGAGAGAGAGGGGAAGGGACACAGATGAACCCCTCTAGGGCACACCCCTAATGTGTGAGCATGACCCACTTCCTCCAGTCATGCCCCAACTGCTTAAAGTTACCACTTAGCCCATTCAAACTAGGATAAACTGATTAGGTTCCAGCTCCCACAATCCAATCTTCTCACCTCCAAACTTTCCTGCATTAACACAGGAGCTTTTGGGGGTTATCCAAACCATAACACAAGAGTGCAAGTGAGAAGACTGAAAATAGTATATTCCAAGCAAATGGAATTCAAAGCAAGCAGGAGAGGTTATTATTTCTGACAAAATAGACTTTCAGGCAAAAATCAGAAGAGACAAAGAAGGTACCATATATTCACTGAGAGAACAATTTATCAAGACAATACAGTGATCATAAATATATATGCACAAACCACTGTATATGCACACACATATATACATATACATCTATATGTGCATGTGTGTTGTAATTTTACAAAGCAAATACTACTAGATATGAAGGGAGATAGACCCCAATACAATAATAGTGTAAAACTTCAATACCTTACTATTACCAATAGAATCAGAACAAAAAGTCAACCAAGAAATATATGAGTTAAATTATACGGTAGATTAGATCAACTCAATAGACATCTACAGAACATCCCATCTAACAGCTGCAGATACACATTCTTTTCATCAGTACATGGGGTTTTTGCCCCAATAGACCATATATTAGGCCACAAAGCAAGTTTTATCAAATTGAAAACTATGAAGTATTTTCTTTTATCTTATCTGATCACAGTGGAATGAAACTATGAATCCACAGCAAGATAAATCTCAGAATTTATATAGACACATGGGTATGGATCAAGACACTACTGAATGAACAATGCATCATTGAGGAAATCAGAAGGGAAACAAAAATTCCTTGAATCAAACTGCAGGACACAGCAAAAGTAGTACTGTAGCAATGATGGCTACACCAGAGAGAGAGAGAGAGACAAAGAGAGGGGGGGGGAGAGGGGGAGAGAGAGGTGGGGGGTCAGGCGGGCAGAAGAGAGGGAGAGAGAAAGACATCTCAAGCAAATAATCTAATTATGCATCTCAAGATCTTAGAAAAACAAGAAATCAGTAGAACCTGAGCCAAAATCTGCAGAAGGAAAGACATAATAATAGAGCATAAATTTTAAAAAATAGAGATTAAAAGAATAACACAAAGAGTCAATGAAACAGAGAGTTGGTTCTTTGAAAGATAAAATTGACAAACTCTTAGCTAAACTAGCTTGAAGAGAGAGTAGAGTCAGATAAATAAAACAGTGGATGAAGAGAGAAATAGAAACCACTGAAATTCAAAGGATAATTAGGGAATATTTTGACAAACCATATGCCAATAAATTGTAAAATTTGGAAGAAATGAACAAATTTCTGGACATATAGGACCTACCAAAATTTAACCAAAAGGATATGAAAAACCTAAATAGGTCAACAAGTAATGAGATTGAAATAGTAAAAAAAAAAAAAAAAAAAAAAAAGTGTCCAAACAATTAAAAATTGAGGACTGAATGGATTCACTGCTAATTTCACCAGACTTTTAAAGAATTAACACCAATCCTCCTCAAGCTATTAAAGAGAAATTGAAGGAATCTTTCAAAACTCATTCAAACCCAGCATTAAATTACCAAAATCTGTTCAAGATACAACAAAAAACAGTAGGCAATGTCCCTGAGGAACAGAGATGCAAAAACTCTCAATAAAATATTGCAAGTGAATTCAACAACACAATAAAAAGATCATATACCATGATCAAGTTGCTTTCATGCCAGGAATGCAAAGATGTTAGACAAATGCAAATCAATAAACATAACACTGCAGATAAATAGAAACAAGGATAAAAATTGCATAATCATCTCAATACATGTAGAAATGGTCTTTAGTAAAATTCAACACCTCTTTATGATAAAAGCCCTGCATAAATTAAGTATAGAAGGATTAGGTATAGTGAATGCTATATAAGACAAACCCATAGCCTATATCATACTGAGTGGAAGAAAACAGCATTTCTTCTAAGATCAGAACTGAGACAAAGCTGTCTACTCTCACTACTCTTATTCAATATAGTACTAGAAATTCTAGCCAAAGCAACTAGGCAAGAGAAAGAAAGAAAGGGATATAAAGAAGAAGGACACCAAAGTATCCCAGTTTATTAAATTATATGATTCTATATATAGAAAATCCTAAAGATTCCATGAAAATAAATAAATAACTTAGAACTGATAAGCAAATTCAGTAAAGTAGCAGGATACAAAATCAAAATTCAAAACTCAGTAGCTTTTCTATGCACCAGTACTGAACTCTCTGAGAAAGAAATCAGGAAAGTTATCCCAATTACAGTAGTCACATAAGTGTAAAAGACCTAGAAATAAACCTAACTTAGGAAGTAAAAATCGCACAACCCTGAAGTAAGAAACTGGAGAGCAGCAGCTTTTCCTTGTTAGATGAATCCTTACCTGGAAAGCAGAGTCTACACAGCACGATTCTCAGGAACAAACTAGAAGCCGCAGACTTTTCCAGACTGTGGCATTCTCCGAATTCTGATGCATAAAATCAGCTCCTGCAGGGTGTGTTTTCGTAAAATTTCTACAGAAATCGCTAACCTGAAGATTTTTTGTGGACTTTGTTCTTCTAAGTTGAAAAAACAAAATGTTGGTTGGTGTGGGATTCAGGAGCATTGGCTCTTCCCCATAGGTCTTCTGTTCAGGGAGCTGATAATGCAAATTTAGTAAGCTGACTGTATGTCTCTCAGCCTTTCTTTCCACAACATCAGTTTTCTCTGTTCTGCTTCCAGAAGACAAGCAGGCCAGGGACTGGAAGAAAGATGGGATTGTAAGGTGACACACCTTTTCTCATTCCTCCCTTTTCTTTTACCAGCCACAGAAGCAAGATGGGAACCAGAGGCATTGGGGGAAATTATTTGCATAAAACCAAAGCTCCTTATTTATACATATGTAGAGCAGGAAACCTGCTATATGGACTGCCTGAAGGTTTCTCCATCATTTCCAGAAACTGTGCTCTCCCTGGCCTTTTGGTTATTCAATTAAATATCACAACAGTGATTCACCATAGGCAATTTTCAGTCACATGTTAATACCAAGGGAAGCGCAGCTCAGAGAGGTCAAATGCCTCTCTGTTGGACACATAAACTACTGAATGGTAGAGAGAAGACTTGATCTCAGAGCACTTTCATCCAAAGCACTCCCTACACTCACACTTGCGTCACTATCCTGAAACAAGAATTCACTTTCTTACCTGGAATGGATGAGATCATGGAACAGGATTTCAATTCCAAATCTATTGCAAAAAATAAACAAGAGGGGAGGTTAGTCACTGTCGTTATCTTTCAATGTGCCAATTCTTTTTTTGTTTTGTTTTCTAAAGCAGTTAATAATCTCTTTTGGGATTAAAGAGATATAATTTTTTTAAAAGCCACCAAGTCTGTATACTTTTATCTTAAAGTTGGGAGGTCAGATTACTAAATTAGTATTGCTATCAGTGACTCACAGCCTGACAGATGAGAAATTATATTCTTTTTTTTTTTAAGAGACAGAGAGAGAGAGAAAGTTTTAATATTTATTTATTTATTTATTTTTAGTTCTCGGGGGACACAACATCTTTGTTTGTATGTGGTGCTGAGGATCGAACCCGGGCCGCACGCATGCCAGGCAAGCGTACTACCGCTTGAGCCACATCCCCAGCCCCCAAAGAGATATTTTATTAGAAGAAGAGAGACCTAGCAAGCTCCATTGTGCCCACATACAATAGCTAGGCACAGTGTTCCAGAGGGTTTTCTCCATAGTCCCACGCAGCCCGAGTTCTATAACAGTGGTCAGCAAAAGGGCAGTATATTTCCACAAATGAAAGTTTCCTGGAAAATAGCCACACTACTTAGTTACATATTGTAGATGTTGTTGTTTCTCACTGAGATGCTTTGATTTATTTATAAGCCTAAAATATTTACCACCTAAATCTTAAAAAATCATTTTCCTACTCCTGCTCTGAAACATTAACTCTTAAACTTACAGCTTGTTATAAATTAACTTTTTTTTTCCTAAGAAAAAGAACTGTGAGACAGTGCCTCCACTAGAATTCACTTGCTTTGTCAGAGCTTCTGCCACATGAAGGGCTGATTCTCTGCAAATAGGTTGAGATTCTCTTATTTTCCTGATCTGGGACACCTGACCACTGCTCCTTCACTAATCCTCTCCACACTCTCCATGCTCCATTATAAATTGGAGGAAACTCCTCTGGGCTGGCCATATGAAGATCTGGATTCAGGAGTCTACTTCCCTTTTGTGTTGAACAAATCATTTAACTTCTCCAGGGTGGCTCCCCATCTCTGAGAAGAGATTTTTGTGTCTGACAATGTCTCGGTCCTTAAAATGTTTTTCTTGCTCTGACATGCTTTGATTCTATGATTATTTTTGTTCCTATGGAAAATGAGATAAATAATGGAAGTAGAACTTCCATCACTATTTGGTTTTAGACACAAACAGGCATAGGTATCTCAGGGAAGCTTCAACTTCTCTGCTGTAAGAGCTCTCAGTCTCAGAAAAACCACTGTCCTCAGGCAGAGCTGTGGTGCAGACAGGAACTGATAGAGGTGGCTCAGCAGAGTACCCTGCACATGGACTCTCAGATCAAATTCTCAGCATTACATTCAGAATTACCACACCTAATCTCTGTACTGCAGTTTTCTCATCTGTAGTTGGGTAAATAATGGTATCAACTATTGCTAGTATGAATCTGAAATTCTCTGAAGGAGCCACAACTGTATTAAAAATCCTGCAGACTATTTGATCTTGGTCAAGTAAAAAGAACATTGCAATCATGGAGACACAGAATATTACATGTCTAGAGCCAAAATGAACTTGGGATATCCTAGGCCTTTCAGAAAAATAGCCATTTATTTTTAACCTTTGTATGTGATCTAAAATTTTCCTGATAATTAAATCAACCTTGCAGAATATATTACAATGCTTATTTACATCTGCCAGATCACTAGACTCCACCAACCCTAAAGCTAAGAATGCTAAGACAATGTCTGAAACCCATAGAAGAGATTTCCCCACCTTTCTATAACCAGCCTACCTAACACACCCACCAGTGTGTTTATTGAATATATTGATTTGACTTACTTTGTTCTTTGGCTATAAAAATTTATATAATCCGTAGAACACATCATTCAGGGTAACTCGAGTCTGTGTTCCTGGGATGTGATCACTTATATTTGGTTCAGAATAAATTGTTTCTTTTTCCTTTAAAGCTAGATTGTTATTTTATTTTAATATTAAGATGTTTTTTTTTAAGGTTAGACAGGTTAACATGTGGAATACTTTGTTAAGTACCTGAAAAATAGAAAATATATATCAATGTTTCTTAAATGAGACAAAACAAACATGACACTGAATTAGGAAAGTTTCATACATGTGACTATGTCTGTTATGGTTTAGATATGAGGTGTGCCACAAAAGCTCATGTTTGAGACAATGCAAGAAGGTTTAGAGGTGAAATGATTAGGTTACGAGAGCATTAACCTAATTAGTGACAGGGATTGACTAGGTGGTAAGTGTAGGCAGATAGTGTGTAGCTGGAGTGGGTGGGTTGCTGGAGGCTTGCCTTTGGGGAATATACACTTGTCCCCCGTGAACCTAACTTAGTCTCTCTCTGCTCCCTGATTGTCATGTCCTGAGCTGCTCTTCTATGCCACACTCTTCTGCCCTGATGTTTGGCCTCACCTTGGGCCCAGAACAATGGATTTGGCCATCTATGGACTGAGACCTTTGAAACTATGAGCCCTAAATATACTTTTCCTCTTACATATTGTTCTTGTCAGTTGTTTTGGTCTCAGCAATGAAATAAAGCTGACTAAAACAGAGTCTCTCAATACTATTTCCTTATTGATCTGGATCAAGCCCATTCTGATGCCAATAAGACACAACAGAGAGAAGAATGTCAAAAAGAAGACACATTGTCCTACTCTACAGGCCTCTACCAATCCATGTGTACGGTTCCTGTAAACACTCTCATGAAATTTCTCCTTTATGTTGACTCAAGGTGGCCACCCTAACTAGTTTATTACACATTTTTTGGATATTGCTTCAGTGACAGTCATAAACAAGATTTTGACTTAACTTGAATATCTGATTCAAGAAAGAAAATTATGTTATAACATTACCAAAATATAGCCAGATGGCTTAACATATGTAATGTATCTTACAAGCATAGATAAAAATATTGTAGTAAGTTACCTCTGTTTTACCAGGGAACTAAATTAGGAGAGGAAGAAATAGTTTTCCTGTTTTTAAAAGTATAGGTCCCCATGTTGAATTTTACTGATTTTAAATGGTGTTAACCCATGTATATTATTATTATTATTTTGGCAGTGCTGGGAATCAAACCCAGGTGACCCATGTACATTTTGATGTGGTTGCAATGGTACAAATTTCCATCAGTTGACTGAAGAAAATGTAAGACTGTTTCATTAACCTCAGCTCTATTAAAGAAGATAAGTTTATGTAATAAGGCTGCAGAGCTTGAAATGTGTTATTTTACATGACAGTCAATACAATGAGACAATGATGGATGACCACCCTGAGACAGCCAATTCCAATAATCAGGAGGTATCCCACGGACTACTACTTATCACACTCCCCTATTTCTTAAAATATTTACATTTTGTATTCCATTTTTTTTAAATTTAAATTTCAAGCTTTATTTTGAGAAAGTAATGCCATTATTGTCTTCAGAGGAAACTATTCATCTGTGGTGTGGGTTTCCTCAGACCTTTCTTGACTAGGCAGTAGGAAGATCAGAATATGGACTTCATTCCTTAACAATTTGGTTGTGGCTCTTATAAGTCCCTAAAATCCTGCCATTCTTCTCACAGGCGTTTCCAATGGGGCTTGAAATCAACCTTTTTTTTTCTTTTTTTTTTTTTTTTTTGCCTTACACCTTATTTTGCTTAGTTTGTTAATTTAGACTTGTTTTACCTCATTGTTTTGCATTAGACTACATTTCCTGACCACACCAGCTCAGATGAAAAAGGAGTTGAATTATCCAAAGCTATAGAATCAAAAAGAATAAGCAATAAACAAAACAGTACTTCTCCTATGAATTTCAACAGGTCTTTTAAAAGGGAAAGATAGATTTTTTAGTTAGCATCTTCACTGCTGTGACTAAAGACTCTGACCAGAACAACTGTAAGGAGGAAAAGTTTACTTGAGGGCTCACAGTTCCAGAGGTCTTAGTCCATAGAAGGCTGGCTCCATTCCTCAGGGCTCCAGGTGAGGCTGACCCTCATGGTGGGAGAGGGTGAGGAAAGAAGCAGCTCACATCAGGAAGCAGAGAGAGAAAGACTCCACCTCCAGATACAAAAATGTATACCCCTTAGCCACGCCCCCAATTAACCACTTCCTCCAGCCACATCCCACCTGCGTTTGGTTGTGGCTCAGTTAATCCAATCAGGGATTAATTCACTGATTGGGCTAAGACTCTCACAACCCAATCATTTCTCCTCTGGACCTTCTTGCATTGTCTCACACATGAGCTTTTGGGAGACATCACACATCCAAACCACAACAATAGAGGTTCATATTTGGGGAAAAAAAAACACCTTGATCAAATCACATACTTGTGATACCCAATAGCATCCTAACAAGTAGTCTCCAGATTACATAAGATTAGTTCAACACTTCCAGGACATATAAACTAAATGAAAAGTAGAATTAAATTCCATGACTCCAGAAGGATTAAAAAAAGAGTAAAAAGTCATAAAAATAAAAATTCTAAAAGGCTTTCACTGTAATTAGGGTTATGATGGAGTTGGCACAGCATGGTTTTAACCACATATAAGATTAATATTTATTTTCAACAAATGTAGCTAGAACAATGTTATTATATCCTCTCCTTCTTTTTTTTTAAATTTTTATTGTTGGTTGTTCAAAACATTACATAGTTCTTGACATATCATATTTCACACTTTGATTCAAGTGGGTTATGAACTCCCATTTTTACCCCTTATACAGATTGCAGAATCACATCAGTTACACATCCATTGATTTACATATTGCCATACTAGTGTCTGTTGTATTC